ACTGCTTGCTAGCTCTGGCTTAATCATTTCTTTAAAATTAATGCAAGTTGGGGGATAAGAGGTGATGATGAGGCAATTAGGACTATAGATTGAATTCACTGCAAATATAAAAATATGGAGTTTGTTATTCTGAGAAATGAAAGGGTGATGAGAAAGATAAACTGATAAAAGAAGTAAAATAAATAAATCAGGATTCTCACACATTCTTGTCTCTGATATACATGCTAAGAATTGCAGCAGTGAGGCTGAACAGAAAAAAAGGTGTTTTCTTGTTTTAAATCAAATATCCATCAAATTTGCTAGATGTCCTAGACTAGTGGCATACTTACATGCTATTGCAGTACAATGGAAAGAAAGGGAACTTCCTAAGGCTGGTGTGGCCATATGACTAGCTTTTTATTGCCTGAAAACTAGAGCAAAATGCAAAAAAATCCCAAAACCAAACAGAATGAAGATTGTGTCTTCAGGAAGGTGAAAGGGAATAAGGGAATTGCAGAATCATGTAAGAATAACAACAGAAATGAGAAATCACAAAGTATGCTATTGCTAACAAGCGGTCCTTGGAAAGCATAAGAAAGATTTAAGTATTTGTGAGATTACACTAAGAACATCCTAGGGGCACTTAACAAAAAACAAGGAATGTGATCTGTTAGTACTTAACAGAGAGATCTAGGGTGTACCCTTGTACATGCTTAGAAAGAAGAAAAATATCCAATTCCCAGCATGCCTTGGCAGCCATAGCTGGCTGTGGGGTGCAGAGAACAGTTGGAATTTTCTATCTAAGGGTTCTGTTTTTACCTGCATGAATCTTTCTTCTGCCAGCATCATTTTGATCAGCTGATTAGTAAAATTAAGTTCTAAATCATTCTTCCTCAACCTGGTGGCCTTGAGAGGCATTTGGATCACATCTCCCAGAATTCCTATCCAGCAGGCCATTGACTGGGAATTCTGGGTGTTGCAGTCCAAATGTGTCTGGAAGGCACAAGGTTGGAGAAGCTGTTCAAAATGATTCCCAGCACTCACTGTACATATGGATAGAGATTTTAAACGGACTGGACAAGAGCAGTGTTGTCCTTTCTTGGTAGAGGATTGCAGGAACATATCCATCCACATGTGTCCATGCTTCCACACAATAGGGGCTACATCCTATGCATGTTCAGACAAAAAAGTGCTACAATTCCATGCATGCCAGCTTTTTCTGTCTCAATATGCCCAAGAAACTAAGGGAATAAAAAATCCCAACACTCATTTGAAGGTTGGGATGGGATGGGACCAATTAATCATCATAATACCATCATCATCATCATCATCATCGTCATCGTCATCGTCATCGTCATCATCATCATCATCTTTGGAAACAATGTTCCAAACTGCCCAGGACAGAAGGTGGAATCCAAATCCCTAACTCATTGAGGGAAGTTTTTCATAAGTACCTGTGAAAGTTATTCTCAAATGTAAGTAGATCTGTTGTATCCATTCTTCTCAGGCTCCTGATGACTCGCGTTAGCTTTTCCAGGGTACAGTTTGAAACATTTCACAATTGTGGAGAGAATTAATTGAAAAGTTCAATCTGAAAGTGCTCAGGGGCATCATCATAATTCCGTTCATTGTAACAGAATACCCTTACATTCCATTTTAATGTCAGTGTTGGCAGAAAACTCAGGAAATTGCTAAATTTCAACACCAAAAGTAAAATAAAATAATGCTAATGATAGTGTAAACAAAGAGGACAGGCACTGAAGATGTCTTTAAAATTAAGGATTTGGATTCTTTGCTGATTAGATCTACTTGGAGGAATAAAATCCCTTATAAACTTAGTCCAGAATATGACTTCAACAAAAAGATTTGGTTGGCCTAGTGAATGAAAGTGTTGCATTGTGTATATCCTTATGTACTGCATTCCGAATCACTGTGAGAACAATGAATTAAGGCCTGTCATAAAGGTCACCTCATGGGATTTTGTCACTATACCCAGACAATGAATGTACTTGCAAGTGCTCATTTTCTTCAGTAAGTTTTAAGAAGATACTCTGTGGAGACCAGAAAACAGAGAACATGGGGGCCAGGACACTTAGTTAACCCAGGCTAGAATGATCACTCACAGGTAAGGGATGGATAGAAAGCATATCTCCAAATGTTTTGGATTTCATTCTATAGACGTCTCAACCAGTAGGGTCAGTAGTATTTGGATCTGTAGTCAACAAATCCAAAAATATTTCTGCCCACCCTTGTTGTAGGGAATATGTATGAGCCTTCCTCCCAACCACGTATATAAACCTTTAATTCTGTGTATGAGGTTGAGCTAGGGCAAGGTTGAATTCATGCATGGAATGGCTGGCTCTCCCAGTGCCCTGTATGCAAACTGTGGAGGAATGATTTCTATTAGCTACCAAGCTAGTGATTCCTCCACTCGCTACAAGTAATTAGAATACAAGTTCTTCCAGAAGGAGTTTTGTATATGACACAACACATACTCAGATGTCTCTGTGTTTAAAAATAAAAGTCTACATGCACAACTATTGCAACATCTTCAGTATCCAGAATGTTAGAGAACAGGATGGATGTGAGCCATAATCATGTATTTTGTGATGAACAAAATGAATACCATGAGAATGATACCAGTATTCTCTTTGGCGACATGCTGGGCTGCTGCTAATGAGAATATGTGCGGCCAGTGTGCATAGTTGTGATGACCTCAGTGAGAGGTCATCTGGGACATGCAAGTCACTCACCATCTGCTTTGGAGAAGGAGGCATGGTTGATATTTCATCTACATATTCAATGAGGCCTGCTCACTCAGCCACAACCCTAAGCAGATTGACTCACTGAAGTAAGCCTCAATGGGAAATGGGCCCTAGTGAGTGTGTTTAGGATTTCAGTCTAATGGTGTACATGAGATCAAATAATGTACACATTTAGATTGTATTAGAGTAACATCCACAGTTTGCTTTAGAACATAAATGCACTGCATGGACTCTTTTCTTCATGTTTTCACTTAGTAGAAAAGCTGTGGCATTGTGTAACAATTTAAGTCCTCCATTTCACAACTGTCTGTTGGCAGAGCTCTTGAGCAGCTTGTACTGTTTAAATATTTTGAGAATAATTGGAGTAATAAAACTAGGTTTGTGTGTTCATCCCTTGGATAAAGACGCCTTCTTCATCCAAAACATACGAACTTTTAGGAGCCCAAATTTGGAGGTGCATCATTGTGATCCAGGGAACATGTTGCCACGGAATATATACATTTGCAGTTATCAGTGCAGAAAAACAAAGTAGGGAGAAGAAATCATACATTCACCAACGAAATAATGCATAGAGTGTCTGCATGTATAATCCCATATAGATCAGTATACCCCAAGTTGGTGCATTATGTGCTGCATATCTAGGTGGGCATGGGAATAGGTGTGTGTGTGTGCACACGAGCGTGTGTGCAAAACCATTTACCCTTTTTGGGGGATGTTTCTCAGTACTGGAGCCATCATTTTGCCAACCCAGTGCTTTTCACTTCCTGCTTCTGGGGAATTGTGACTTTCCATTGTGACTTACATGCCCTGAAAGTTGTATCATATTGCAAGAGATCCTGGGACATGGTCTTTAATCTGGATTATAGAGTTCAGTGTCCATACCTGTTAGGACTAATGATTACTTTATGAACTAAAACAACCCTTTTATTGCCCTCAGTCTGCACTGATGTGGAAGCAGGACTACTCTCTTCCCATAGAGGCAAGCTGGGTAATGCTCCAAAGAACACCTACCTACTCCAGAACACAGTCTGAAAACTACTTTGCCAACAGTGTCAAAAAAGCAACTGATACAGTATTTGTTTTTTTTTTTTTGCCATCCATATAATACGATCATGAGCAGAGGAACTATTTTAATGCTATTCACAGTTCTTTTGAAATTAAAAAGAAAATATACAGCTTAAGTCAACTGAGTTTCCCTTTGTTGTTTCAATCTCTTTCTCTTTGTATCAAGTATCATATAAGTTGAAGTTGCTCATACAAATCAACTTAGCAGAAACAATGAAAGAGAAGTATGTCCATGCAACAGAGACTCATTTGCCAGAATACCTTGGTTCGAAAGAAGAAATTAGGTGGAAATTACTCATCATATAGAATGCTTGCTGAGTGGCTGCGTTTGCTTAATGTTTAGAATGGATTTTGAAAAACAAACAAGCAATTAAAATTGAGGAACAGAAAACCATGAACCTTTTTCCCTATAAAAATTAAAAATTAGACTATTAGAATATTGTCAGACAAAAAGCCTAGTCTATTTTGATTTGTTCTTTCAAAAGAGCTATCTCTGACTGCATATTGGTTGTGGTACACATTTAAATAATTGTTTTAATAAAATACATCTTTAGGTCAAAGGTTAGGGAAGTCATCAGTAGTAGTTGGAGTGTCCCCTTGCTGCTCTTGTTGCTTCAGATAATTAACAGCTGATGGCCGTCCAAGTCCAATAAACAATTGCATACGGTATTGATTTCATTCTTCCAGTACTTATATAAACAAGAGAACTATTAGACAAAAACAGAAAAGAAAAAAAGTCTTGTGTACAACCAAATGTGAAGGTGTTCATTAGCTTTATGGGGCCCATGCAGTTTTTAGTTCAGTTCAAGAGAAGCTGACGAGAGCGATTTTGTCCCTCCCCCTTTATTCTTTTCTCCAAATGGCAGAATGACAGATGTCACTTTTATATCCCAGTCCAAAGAGAACTGCCAGATCAGTCTTACTGAAGAGCCCAGGGAACAATAAGTTAGTTTCAGAGCAAGCTTCTGTTCTTGAAACACTGGGGGTCAGTGGGACACGTCTAAAGGGTTTTTTTTTTTTTTTTAACAAATTGGGTTCATTTTAAACCAGGTTGAAATTGTTTGAGCTTTGCAGCTCTTTGTAAACATCCATATAAATGCCATGGAAAAGTTCATGAATATTGCATTTTATTTCCAGTTATCTGTCTCTGCAAGTTCCTACTTGGATGAAGTTCCTAGGGATAATTCAGGCTCAGACACTCCGTGGTGCCCTCTCGAATTCATGGGTCCTCCGGTTCCTGCCTTTCTTATTCTCTTGTAAATGCTTCCACTTGTTTGTATTCACTTGGGCATTGGCTGGTCTTTGCCGGCGTTGTTTGCGGTCCCTTTTCCACACCTGCTCACAAAACTCATCCATTGTATTAAGGTTGGGGTGGTTGATGAGTTGCATGAAGTCCCTATACCAGACTTTTTGGCTTGGGGTCATGCTGCTTGAAGCTTCTTTGATCTTGGAACTATCGCCATCCTCCTCTTTATGAAGAAGCTCTTCCAGGTGTTCTGTATCTATGATCTCCAAGGTCACCTTGAGGAGTGTCTGCATGAAGCCATGCTCTACAGCATGACAGAAATACACTCCCGAGTCCTTCCGCTGCAAGCTCCGCATCAGGAGGCCCTGTTCTGTCCGAATTAAACGATCATCCAATTTTATCTGTGATGGAGGAAAAGAAAAGGGTCACTGTTTAAGCAGTTATCTCCAGTTCTCTGACAAAGGGCTTCTCTACATGAGGTATGACGAGCAGTAGGTTTTCAGGAACTTTTCATGTCAATGGGGCCTCTCCTATTTCTGCAGCCTTTTTTTTGGATCAAAGAAAGTGCAGTATTAAATTTCAAGGCAGAACAAAAACTGTGTGTGTTGTCAAAAATCATCTGTGCTATAGCTAAACCACAGCACCACCTTAGGCTTTGTTAATAGGATATAAAGAAAGGCAGAGAAACACAAACCCTGGGGCACAGAGAAGGTCAACACATCAGGGGAACACCATGTTATGGATGGCTGGTGTAGCAGACAGAGCTGGTTTGAAACCATGCTCAACCATGAAGCTTGGTGGACACAACTTTCTCAGCCTCACTTATCTCAGGGGTATTTTGAGGAAAGATCTGAATGCTACTTTTGAGAGGATACAACTGAGTTAAATACCATTTCCTTAGTTCTATTCCATATTTTCTGGCTCAGCTCAGTAAAATAACTACGCATGTCAATAATATGTCCTAATGAAGTCTCTTTTCTGCCCCACAGTGTACATATGCAGACTGCTGAATAGGACCATTGTAGGGTCAACTCAGACTTGGACAGACAAGTTTTGACAAGCATAACCTACTTGTAGGAGGAGCTGGTGTCTACCTTTATTAGTGACTGCTCCTTATGTACTTGGGTGAATATTATAATATTCATCTCTGATAAGTGCAATGGAGAAGAAATGATTGCTTTTCAGTGGGCTATAAAATGGGTTTACAAACAATTTAGGCCAAAAAATATTAACACAACACTTTCCTCTCTCATGTGCTAAATCAGGATCTACAGTAAGGGATGCCTCTGCTCCAGACTGAGATCCCTGCGTGATGCCACATGGCCTACTCCCTCACTGCTGATGGCAGAGACAAAAATGCGTGTCAGTGCACAGATTCTGTGGCAGTGGAATTTGGGAGTGAGCCATTTGGAGACAAGGAGTGGCAGGCCTGAGGTATTGGCCTGCCACCCACTACACCCTTGTCCAACTGTACATTCAGGAGAAATTACATTTCTGCAAAATGAAAGGACATCATGTGTTTCTGTGTGTTCCATCAGATAATATTTTTAAATAATTAAAATACATTCAGTCCTATGGCTTGTGCTCCCAATAGAGAGAGGGCTCCAAGTTTGGAGCCGTCTCCCCATGCTATGCCCTGTCAGCCAGAATCAGGTGAGGGAGAGAAGGATGGAGGCAATTTCACTTCTGTTCACCCATTCAAGTTAGAAAAAGCCACTAGATAGACCGCTGGATGAGGTACCATCTGGTGGACAGGGAGGGGACTCAAGAGGCCACTGGATTATGCATATCCTGGTCTCTGCCCTCCCCTCCCCAGCTCCCTTTCTTTCCCTCTCTGATTCCTTTTAGGCAGTGGCCATGACTGAATCTCTTCTTCTTCCTCCTCATGCTCATAGCTCCATTCATGGGTGTGGAGAAAGAGATCCACAGCATCTTTTGGCACCCCAGTGCTGGCTATGGGGCCAGAAGATTGCACTCAACCAACTTTATCCATGGGGTTTGAGAATAACAAATGCTAGAACCCACATAACAGATAATTCATTACTTCCAACAGTTTAAAAATTAATTGGACTGATCACGAATCATGAGAACTATCTTGGTTAATGGGTAGTATATTAATCAAATAAATAAATAAATAAACAAACAAACAAACAAACAAACAAACAAACAAACCAACCTTTGGCAGCAGAATGTTACAAGAGATCTTGCTGTGATTATGGAGTGAATGAAATATGTCCCTTTAATGGCCTTATTAAGCACTTGCTTGCTTTTGTTCCCTCCACCTTCCCTCCCCTCTTCTCTGTTCAGGTAAAGCTGTCTAGCCAGCAGGAGAAATGTTATTCCCTTAAAAATGAGGTGATGAAGTGACCTTGCAGGCTAGTAAGATTCCTACATTCTTCCTAATCCCCTTGAGCACCTGGGGAAATGAGAAGTAGGATTGTATTATTCTGTAGGTAACTGCAACAGGAGTGGAGTGGTGGGGGAAGGGTCAAAATAGGAGACAGAATCCATCATTTAAGAACACTGCCCAGGAACACTTTTGGTTCTCATGGAGATTAGAAGATTAGAAAATTTAGATGTATAGCGCCCTTTTAATCATGGCAGGGCACTGAGACCGACGGGGCTTCCAATGTATAACGATAGCTCACCCACAGGCTCTCACAAGGATATGGCTTTGAGCGCTCAGATGGAGCTCCCAGTGCAGGAAAAAAAACCACAACCAGTGACTGATTTTAAGGATCCACGAAGAGTTATTTTCTCTGCAAGCAGCCAGCCTGACAGCCTCTGAGGTGGGATCCTGCAATGGGTTGTAGGGAGCTTTAACCCTTCCCTACACACTCTTGTCCAATCCACTGTTGTTGGTTGGTGGTGATTTGCAAAAGGATAAGCTTACTTTTAAGGGCAAATGGTCCAAGAAATGTCCCCACTGTTTGGCCCTAAGAGTTGGCAGAGCATAATGGCTGAGCACAGGGGGTTAAATCCAGTGTTAGTCCTACCTAGAGTTGACCCATTGAGATGAATTGGACTTGTAAGACTAACACTGGCTACAATCTATTGAGTCTAAAAGTCCATGCCAGTATATTTACCTCATAAGAAAAAGAAAGGGGGACCCAAAACCCCCAGAAGTTTATTTATTAAAAATCGTGTATTTATTTTTACATATTCAAACTTCAATCACCTTCAAAGAACTTTCCATTTGATGCAATGCACCTATTGAAATGTTTTTTCCACTGCTCAAAACAGGTTTTGAACTCGTCGATTTTGATGCCTTTTGGTGCTTCTGCTGTTATTTGTTTCTGCTGGTTGTTGTTGTTGGTTTTTTTTTTTTTTTTTGCTTCTGCTGTTTTTCGTTTTGCTATATTGGCAAAACGTTTCCCTTTGAGGGCTTTTTTCATTCAGGGAAACAAAAAAAAAAAAAGATGCATGGGGCAAGATCAAGAGAATAGGGAGGGTCATGCCATCTTTGATCAAAAACTACTGAACAGTCAGCTGAACAAAATTTCACATTGTTCATGTAAATCAGCCATCACAAAGTAGGCAAACACATTGAAAGAGTCTCCAAAAATAACTGTACTACAAGGGGCCTGCCTCCAGAAAATAATTCCTGGCTTTTTTGCCCCGCCCCTCACCCATATGGCTATTTAGACTGGCACCTCAGAGCAGGTACATATGTAGGATCTGCCATCCAATCTCAATCCCATTACTCATTCAGAAAACTGGAAGTTTGGGAAATGGCAACTCTTTTGTAACTTATGCAAAAAGCCAAACTTGTTCTTTTGGTAATAAATATATTAGCATGGAAAATTTGATTCATAATTTTCATTAAACAAGAAAACTTGTATCTGGGATGGACCATTTTTGTTGACATTTACAGGGGGGCTCTATTATTGAATGTTCCTCTATTTTAAAAAGAAATTGAACTGTATGTCAAAGGTTGGCTTCAGACAACACAACAAGCCATAATGGTTTTTTACCTTGTTAGTTTGCCACGTTGTCTGAACTCAGTCATGGTATTTAACCATGTTAAGTTTGGTCTTTAGAAACCAAGGAAACAATGGTTTGTTCTATGGTTTCTCTCTATCAGAATGGCTTGTCATATTATCTGAACCCAGGATCTTGGGCTTCATAGTCATGGTATGCAACTACCACAGAGTCCTCTGGAAAGAGTAGCAAGTGTAGGAACAGCTCCAGCCATCTAGCCTCTATGTGTGAACCAGTGAGGAAGAGACAGGCAACACAGGCAGGGAATGATTCCCCATTTGGGCAGAGTTTCAAGCAGTGTGACTGATGGGGTGCATGCCAACAGTGGGAGGACTGAGAGGGGACAATGGAAACCATGATAAAGTAGAAACCACGTGATCATCAGGTTGATCATGGTAAAACACTGTGAACCATGATAAACATGCAGGATTGCTTATCATATTGTATGAATGTAGTCAAAGAGAGAGTGAGGCTGAAAAGGGGATTTTTTGTTTCATTTTGCTGGTATGGAGCATTGCATATGAGCCAAACCTGTGGTCTGAAAGACAGGTTATTGAGAGCTAGCTGTCAGAAGCTGTGTTTGCATCAGGGATTTTCTGGTTCAGATCTAGAAGTATGAATATTAAGGACCATACCTCTTCCTTACTGTCATCATTTTGCTTCTGAAATTGCCAGTAGACCAGGGCACGCTGAGATTTTGGACTGCACTCCAAGAAAGTACTGCTGTTCTCCACTCCATAGATAATCTTCTCTTCAACCCCATGCCCATTGTGGTTATCTGCAGAGAACGGTGAAGAAAAAACATATAATTTAACATGCCTATGCAAAGAAGCAAGCAGAGTAAGGTGATGGATTTCCAGACAAGTATCCTGTTTGGAAGAATCCTGTTTGGGGAACTAAATCAAGATTGAAAAGAATATCTCAAAATTCTTTTGAGAGGACTTGGCAAACCAAAGGGACTTGGCACTGCACAGTGGCAGTGCTTGATGGGGTGTACTACATGGCGTGTACAGAATTTACAAGAAACTTTATGACATTGTTGTGGGTGGGGGAACCTGAATTTGAAAACATCAATAATACTACTGGGTTTGTAGTATTGATACCAATTACCAACAGTTTGGAGGAAGTCCCAAAAACAGTTCTAAAGTGATGTAACATTCCTGATTGCTCAGCCATCATTAAGCCTTCAGGAGAAGGCTGTTGTCCCCATCCATTCTCTCTTCTGGCATGTTAAGTTCTTCCTCTAGAGAGAGTTAACTAACCCAATGTGCCCACTCTTGATGCATGTAAGCCTCGGAGCTCAGAGGTGTCCATGCGTCCAATGCACAGAGCAAAGTGTTGTCGTGGTATCCTTGCAGCTGGGACTCTGAATAATCTTATGGGTCCCAGGGATGCCAGGAGGCCACAGAGTTGCATCCCAAAGAAAATTGACTCTTAGGCTCACAATAATGTATTTATTTTATTTATTAAAAGCTTTTATCTGCTGTCCTATTATATAAAAATCTCAGGACGGCTTACAATATTAGACGTACTTAGAAGAATGACTCAGGATCCTTCTCATTTCACGTAGGACCTTGTAGAATATGTGCCTCAAATGGAAGTGCATGATGTCACAACTGTTCCAAATTGTTTAGCTATGGCTAAACGTCAGGAGTAGGAATAGAAATAGGTGACTTGGTGCTGTGTACACTCATTCTAGGCCCATTCTGTTCTTAAACAAGAACCAAAAATTTTAAAACAGCAGCTCTATTTGCACACTAATGAATTATGTGAGAAATATATAATGCCAAAGAACAGAATTACTAGTTCACTGAAAACTATGACCCACTCTTTCCTTTAGGTTCAGAGTAATTATTACTAAGGCATGGTGCAGTATCAGAAGTTCTAATTATGCCTCCAGAGATCTGTGCTCATAATACTTTAAGAGAAAACTGTAAAATACATGTCTTTCCAAAAGTACTAAACTGTGTTTAGATTCTATGGCACAGGAGTATGTTGCAGCAGCTGTTAATGAGGAAAAATCTAGTTTTTGTGGAAACAAGATTCAATTAATCATTTCCTCTTGTAAGCTGTATAATTTATGGAAATGTAGCATGGTTAATAAACCAGACCTTTTGGATGGGTGAAAGAAAGAAAGTGAAATAAATTACTTCCTTTCTGTAACAACATTGTTTTCAAGTTATCCATCAATTTGTTGGAAACATTGGATAGCTTTTGGATTTATATGGCAGTTGCTTCTACTCCAGCACCACAGAGGCATTAAGGGTGTATGATTCCAATACTGCATTTAATAGGCATGCATCTGTATATTATATAAATTGCAGAGGTACAATAATTATGAGACCATAATAAGGGGCAAATAAGATCATGCTGAGTTATACCCAAATACACTTGTTCACATGTGGAAAGTGTTTTACACCTTGCACTTGATACAGGTGAATGGATTTGCTAATTAGGGCTGCTCTCTGTTTCTCATTTTTTAATCTTAAATTTGCTTTGTCCCATACCTTAAGGAGTTCCCCAGTTTTAAATCTGATACATCCCAAACACGGAGACTTTCAAAAAGCTTGTAGAAAAGAACCAGTTAATGTTTCTCTACATTTCTTGTAATACACACACATTGTGCACATTTTTCAAGTTGTTTTCCCAATAAAATGCATTCTAAACATCTATTTATTATACTTTTGCATGTAACGCCACTTCCTTCGATATCTTTTTAACACAGTGTTTGACTGGTGACCTCCACTGCCCAAGTCAGAAAAATGTGAATTTTTGTTTCAGTTTACAGAAATGTAGAAGTAGCTGCCAAACAGTCTTCCAGAAACCAAGGTATGAAAAAAGTCACAGAATGTGCCTGCCACACTCTCCTATGCATCTATTTTAGAATGGGCTACCAGCTATTTTCCTTCCATTCACAGGTCTTTGATTAAATCCTGTATATCCCCTGTGGCACCTAAAAGATTAATATCCTAACACCGTGCAGACTTAGGGATATTGCAGCCTATATAAAAACTATGGGCTTAATTTTGTATGGGCTGTTGCTTGGGTTAGGGAAGAATTCTCTCTCTCCCCCCTCCCTAAATTTCTCTATAAAAGGAATGGAAAGAACTTGAGATTTACTTAAATAAATCTTTTGCATAATTTTTTGCAGGCTATGTGTTGGAATTAAAAAGCTGACAAATGGCTAGTCTTTAAAGTGCCACAGTATGCTTTGCTTTTTGTGCTGCAATAGACAACTACACTCCACTTTGCGTTTACAAGGGGATGGAGCTAAGGTGTTTCAGATTCAACTCTTTAGCAACTCTCCCTTTTTGTGTCCCGGAAATGAAGAATGTGTTACTGAAAGTCTCATGCGGAGCAATCCCCTTGTCAAATCCTGTTTAAATCCACAAAGCCCTCACCATGTTGGCTATGTAGTAATCTGGCAAACAAAACCTGTTTGCTAAAAGGCCAGGCCGAAAGGAAGAAAGCAAGCATGCCAATTGCTTTTATGTTGACACAGTACTCCTACATTTTTACCTTAATGGCATTTAAGCATCAAAGCTCAAGTAGGGGGCAAACAAAAAGGAATTCCTGCCAGTTTAGAAGCAGATTATTAGAGGCCCACAGATATTAAACAAATAGGAATCAATTTGCTCAGATTCATTGGAAGTTATCAATATAAGGGAATGAACCAAACAGTTTTTAACCTGAGAAGCTAATCTGTTTCAGAGATGTTGGGTGAGAGACTGGGGATCAATGGGGCGGGGGGAATCAGAAGTCTTAATTTCTAAGGGCAGATCTAGATCTCACACTGGCACACCTGTGTGTTTAACTGCAGCTTCCCACAAACAGCTGCAAGCAGAGAAAGCAGGGGGTAGAAGGGCTGCTGGAATTCAACTCACCCCACTGATGTTCCTCTCCCACTCCTTGCCCTCTCACATGATCTCTCTGGCAGACATTTCTCCTAGTGAGTATCTTAGCCTGGAAATAAGTCAAGCTAAGAAAGAATGGCTGGGAGGCAAATGGGTGGGTCATAGAAGGTGGAACAAGAACTCGGAACTTCCCATCCACTGTGGATGCTTGAGGAATTGGATCTTTTACACATGCCAGTGACCTGGTCTGTTCCTCAGGACTCATGGCTAGATCAGGACTTAGTTGTTCCTGACTATTCAGACATAGCTCTCTGATATTTTTAGGTGTAAGAAGTGGGTACTTTGAGATAAAATCTGTATTTTGAGAGAGATGTGTAAAATACATACTTAAATGCATTTTAATCAGTGGTAGATTAATACAGAAAAGGGATGGAGCAGACTTATGGGCAGACAAATGTGAAAATGGCCTGGGCTGGAAACATTCCTACCTCGACCAGCTTGCCTCCTAACATCTCCTCCAGTTCACTGCCTCCTTCTGAGCTACTCAGCAGAAATCTGTAACTGCAGACAAGAGCCTGCAAGACTTGGAAACACTCTGCCAGTTTCCCCCACTTTCAGGTAGTGTGACAACAATAATCAGGTAGTGGAAACACGACTTCTGATGGAAAAACTAAGTGATTTCTATTTTTTTAAAAATGTGTTACGTTTTTTATTTAAAGTTTCTTTTCAAATGCTTTGCCTGTTCTGTTAGTCACTTCAGAGAATGCTGCAGAAAAGTGGGATAGAAGAAATGCTTTAAATACTCAAAAGCCAAATAAAAATGCAGCAAAAACATTGCAGCAGTCTGAGGTTAAACGGGCTTGCTGATGCATTCCTTGGAAAAGCTATTCTAAAGAAAGGTTATCGCAGCAGCATGCTTTTGCACGTTTGAAAATAATGAACCAGTGAGGACTGCTCCTTCCCAAACACATAATCCAGTGTCAACGAAGAGGCCAATTTCCAGCACAGCATGCAAAATGGATGTCAGACATGCTGGAAGAAGTGGCCTTGAAACAAACAGTCTTTGTGAGGCAGGAACCACACACATATGCCAGTACTTTCCCTCTCCTTTCCTCGTCCATTTCTTTTGCTTCCACCAAGCAGCACTGGAAAGCACAGCGCATGGGGCATGGAAACTGTGAAAGGGCCATAAGGCGATTTCCTCTATCTATACTATGGTGGTGATGTCAGCTTCGTGCTTCCTAGGTGAGCCATGGAATCTGTGACCACGAGATGCAGGGATGGCCAGTAATTTGGATGACTTCAAAAGGGGACTGGGCATGAAGGAAGAAAAGTCTGTCAGTGGTTAATGCACCTGGAATCTATATGCTATTTCAGTATCAGAGGCAATTGGCCCTTGTCCAGTAGATGCTGGAGAACTTGGCAAGCAGGGTGCTGTGGCACTCACGGGCTGCTTGTGGGTTTTCTGTGGAAATTGTTTGAACAGAATGCGGGGCTGGAGGGACCTTTGCAATGGATGGCCTTGCAATGTCCATGTACTCCCAGTTCAGACATCCCTGCTTTCTGTTGCCTGGACATCAATGACCCAAATTAGGGATTCCGATTAGCCTAAACTGGCAGTGACTGCTTATCTCCAGTAGAGGGCAGTACTGCATAAGTGTACTCACAGGGATCAAAGGCAAGTGTTTCCCCACCCTTCCCGCCCCCATGGCCACATAGGAATGTGAAAGCCTAATCGCTGAACTGGGTGAAATGGCTTATGTGCCACCCTAAGTAGGGATCGGGCATTTTAATAAAGCAACCATTTGACTGGTAAATCAGCCAACAAATAACTATGTAAAAAGATATATAACAGCCAAAATGCAAGCAAATTGGAGAGACAAGTGCCTGTACTTTTACAGTCAAATGAACATTATATGGAGAGCATTTTGGTGGAACTTTTTTTTTTGTAACTCATCTTGACCAGCAATCACCTGCAGGGGAGTAAGCTTCACTGGATTCAGTATGACTCATTTCTGCACACAACACTGTGTTGCAAGTTGCTTATATGGCTCAGGACACCAGTAGCATCTTGGAGAGGGTTTTTAAGACTCCCCATATTGCCTGGAGGGTGGCAGACCTGTGCTTTTCTTTCTCCATAAAGGGCAGTATGATTGCAGCATTCAGCCCATCTGCTTTGAGAGGTGTCACTTCTCTGGCAGTTTGGCACACATCACAGAAGGTTATGCAAGGAGCAGGGGAAAGCTGGCTTAGATGTTGAGCAAGAAGGGTCATCCACAGAGCCCAGCATGGCCTGATGCTCTGTGAAGGTGGGAGCAGCTTTCCCAGGGGCCTTATACAGCTCTTTTTCAGCCTTGCTTTCAAAGAGAGATGCTAAGATCGATCCTGGGTCCTTTTGGATACAGCCTATGAACTCAAGAGTACTCTAACTCAACCTTTCCCAACCTGGTGGCTTCCAGATTTTTGGATTACAGCTCCCATCCACCTAATCACTAGAGCTGGTGACTGAGCTTCTGGGGTTTGTAGTCTAAACGATCTGGGAGAGACTGATCTGACTCTGCAACAGAGTAATCAGACAGCTTTACGGCATACCAAAAGTCTGGAGTCAAAACAGATTTTTGGTCTTGTGAATAAAACACATAAATGATTTCTGAAATGTATTTGCTCTTCAGACAGAGAAAGGTGAAACTCAAAGTCTGTTTCAAGAAAGCTGATATGCAACCTGATCCTATCCATGCATGGAAGTAAATTCCACTGAGTTCAAGGGGAATATTCCCAGGCATGCTTAGGATTGTCTGGGTGCCAAGAATTAAAAGGGAAAAAATGCAGAAGTGAGTCCTAGAAAGATTTTATGTTAGATAAGACTTAGACTAGAACCAAATAACATCTACCTGGGAGTAAGTACTTTTGGACTCAGTGGGACATACTTTTTAGAAAGCATTGAGAGGATCAGGCTGTTGGAGGTGAATGGAAAGAATATTTCAACAGCTGGGAGTTAAAATCCAGTATCCTAATTCCAATTCTGACCCTTTCCTTTGTGAATGTAGTTGAATTGCCTTTATATAATGAGCTATAACTTACCATGAAGCTGCAGGTCAGAACAATGAGTAAGAGGGTCACCATTTCGGATATCTTGTCGTCTAGTGCGTCTAAAGGTAACATTAGAAAAACACAGAGAATTTTTCATTGCATTCATTCATTGCATTTGTATCAATAAAAACAGCAAATAAAAGAGAAAAAATACCCACTCTTCTGGTCCAGAGGGCAGCCTGACCTGAAATAAATATAGCTCATGAATTTTTTTCTGATCCCAAGAGCATTGTTGGAAAAGTCACCTGATAAACTCCTGTGTGATAGGTAAAAGCACAGGAATATGGCAATGCCAGGATGTTCAGGGTTATGTGATTCAGTATTATAGAAACAGAAACAGAGCAAGTCAGAAGGGATCTCCTGGGCCATCTAGTCTGACCCCCGGCTCCAACCGGCTCCACTCACGAAATGCCCACTATGTACATGTCCAGCCTATCTTTGAACACCCTCACCTATGGGGCCTCAACGACGCCCCGTGGAAGCCCATTCCACACCCTTGGGGTCCTGACTGTCAGGAAGTGCTTCCTGGCATCCAAATGGAACCTTGGCTCCCTGAGCTTTGCTCCGTTGGAGCGCATCCTGCCTTCCTCTGCAGGGGAGAACAGGTCCCTACCCATCTCCGTGTGACTGTTTATTATATAAAATAACCCAGCTATTTTCATTTTGTTCTGCATATCCAGAGGTGCTTTGAGCTTCCTCCTCTTCCCCTCTTGTCAAATTGGAAATCTCTTGAAATTAAGGGGCACTTGAAAGATCAAGTCAAAGATCAAGGAGTTTGGTGGAACTGGTCTATCACTTTTGTGAACAGCATTATAAACCAGTTTTTGTCAATGTCTTTACACTCAGAAGTCAACTTCTAACCCCTGCAAACATATACTATATTGCTGTCACCAGGGCTTTTTTTGTCATAGAACGCACCGGAACGGCATTCTGGCACCCTTTTTTGATGGATTTTTCCGTGTGATTGTGAATTGCTCTGTCGGGTGTAGCAGGTCGGCAGCAAAAATCATTAAAATAGTGCCTGCGGGCTGCGTGTGTGTCTGCACTGCTTGTGAGGGCGCTGCTCAGCTTGGGACGCTGCTCAGCTTGGGATCGGTCATGTGGTCGTGCGCTGAGTGCTTACTGCCAGCGGTGACCATTATGTTTGTGTGTGTATAGAGTGACTGGGATTTTATCACCCAAATCTACCTTTTGACTACCTTTATTGACTATATTTACATGCAAAAGGTAAATAAGTTCTTTATTTCAAAAAAAGTTGGTGAATTGAAAATCTTTTTTAGTGTAAAAGTGTGACCCCAAGAGGTGAGTTCCAGCACCTTTTTTTTTTACAAAAAAAGCACTGGCTGTCACTATGCACAATCTGTGCAAATCCTCTAATATGTATTGATTATGACTAAATTAAGGGTCTTGCTGGTAGGCATTTGAATCAATGAGAGTTCTACATGCACACAACGTGGCTCTAGCTATTTAGCTTTCTTAAGTATACAGTAAAAAATTCAAATGCTGCATCTGAGAAGCAAGATAATTTGATCTGTAAAACAACAAAACTTGTTTTCAAAATGTTGTGCACCATGTGTGTGTTGATCAAAGTATTACAATTTAGTGTGTTGAAAGTAAAGTTAGTGGTTTGAATCATCGCAGTCACAAACAACAAGGCATTACGTGAAAATATACCTTCCATGGACTCTCTTTTACTTTGCTTAGGTAATATTTTGTAGCTTTCCTTTAGTGGAAAAAAAACCATTTGAAATAGGCTATTCCTGTTTAGATTGTCACTGTTATGTTTCTTTTGTCTGCTCTCTTTGTTTTGGAACAGCAGTGGTACAAAACCCCAGTGCAATCTATAAAAAAGGGATGCTGCAGAGTACAAGAAAAGAACAGGGCAAACAAAGATGTTGTTAGATGATAAATGCATCACTCGGAGAAGAAAAGAAACACTGAAGGAGTGAAAAGTCAGGCAAGGGGCTGGGGAGAAGAGAAGAGAAGGAGGATTAAATCACAGAACAATAATGGAATCTTAGATCCTGAAATAAGGTTAGCAAAACTCAAAGATACAGACTGCCATCTTCCCCGGTACACACTTGTTTATAGCTTCTAGTTGCCTTCAGCTAAACTTCTCCCCACTTGAGCCCATGAGAGCTGAATTAACTTGGTCAAACCCTAAGAGACATTCTCCATTCATAATGGCCCAAAAATGTATTGGCTAAGAGGAAATGAAAAAAATATTAGGTTGGTTAATAACACTAAAGTTATTCCCAAGTTTAGCTGTTCACAAGTAGGAACTACATGATAAGAAACAGAACCCTGAAGATGGGACTTTATTTTCTGAGGGCTCAGCCCCTCCAACTCCTAGGTAAGGCCACCCAGTTGGGATCCCATTTACTTTTTTTAAACCTATAATAGTGTCTGCAATTATGTTTCTCTTTGTTGGTATAGAGACTGTTATTTTTCTGTTTCCACTGCCAAAGAAGCCCACATGTTTTACCTGAAATGGAGACAGTTCTGGGTAAACAGATGGATTTTATATTTTCAGAACTGGAGGATCAAACTTTCCTCCTTCCTTCAGGAGGGAGGAAACGTCCTAGAAGCAAGTCCAGGTGAGACTTAAACGGATCTCATTACCTGCTAGTGCCTGATTTGAATATTTGGAAGCCTGTCAACACATGTGATCATGCAGGCACCATGACTTAATTAAGTCTGGTTTTCCTCCTCCTCTTCTCTGATAAGGATCTCTGGAACTCTAAGAAGCCTGCAGATGTTTGTTTGTTTCTTGCATTTGCATGCTGCCCTACAGCCAGATGGCTTTCTTAGATTTTATGTATTTATTTATTCTGTGATCCTTTGGCTGGCCTAATAAATAAAGGTGCAACAAAGCCTGTGTAAGGCTTTGGACATCAGGTTATGTCCAACTTCTGAATGGGAATTAAGTTAGTCATTATGACTCACTTGCCCCATTGATTTCAATGGGACTAAGGTGTGTTTAGCTTCATTTGGATCTAATCCTCACCCCTCAAATTAGGAGGCCTATATTGATTAGAAAATATACAGTGCTCAGTATTGTCTTAATCACTGCTGTTTCAGTGTCACTGGGTTTCAGACTGAGATTGTGGTTTTACTAATATCTGAGAGTATTATGGTTTTGATGTACCGAAGGGTTGGAAAAGTAGTGTGTGAGATTTTTCAAAAGGGAGAGTTGTTTAAAGAACACAATAAATAGCCATTCAGAGAATTAAAATAGCAGTTGTTGCTTAAGGGCACATTTATTTTATTTATTTATTAATTATTTAATTTCTAGCTAGCTCCATTAGACACATGGCTCCCTGGGCACGTTGCAATTATAAAACTAATATAACAACAGAATAATCAAACAGCCATAAAAATAACAATCCAATGCATGCTTAGGTAGAACCCCTACAAGTCCTAGCATGCCATTATGCAACATGCTGTGTCTGGGAATTGTAGGATTTTCTTCTGTCTAAACATTCATGGCATTGTGTCAAAACTGTCTTGACAAGAAATGGAAATGAACTAACTCATGGCGGATAGGCTATTGATGGCTACTGATGGTTCCCTCAATGTTGCAGAAGCAATTTGTCCCGGAATACCAAATACAAGGAATGGATGGGGAAAGCCATCACCTCCATACTTCTGAGGTGCTTCAGGGACAACTGAAAACTGAATCTTGGATGAGCTGGGCCTTTGGTCTGATCTTGCAAGGCAATGCTTACGAGTATATTGGCATAGTTTGTGCAGTCTCAACAACATCAGGGCAGTGTTAGAAACAATCAGGTGGGACACTAAGGAGTGGTGGAGCAGAGACTGAAACCCATCCCTACCTCTTTGCGGTGGGGAAGTAACGAGAGCACGAGGAGCCATCCCAGGCACAGTAGGGGTCCCTAGCCAGGCAGCACTCAGCACATGCTTTCCCGTACACATCACAGCGGTGCAGGGGAAGCTGCGACACGCCAATTGCTGAGCCAAGGTAGAGCTGTTGCTGTTTTGGGGTGGGGGTGGGGAGAAGAAGAGAAAAATGGCAAGTGGTCATGTTTCATTCAAAAGGCTTTTCTTTGAAAGGCATAATTATACCTGAGTATCTATGAACATCTTTGTCTAATGGCAGAAAAGTGAAATCTGTTTGTCCAGGTGCATCATTTGGATCCATTCATTGGACAAATGTTTTTGCTTTCTACCACATCTTGTAATGTCAGAAAAGACAGAGAATTTATGCAGAGGGAAACACAATTTCTACTACAGGAAGAGACTGGCACTCCCTCTTTTTACATATCACAACAATCCACCAACTTTCTGTTCTTTCATGTAATATCACAAGTCGGTCTATCCATTCTAATACCCAACCTTCCATGTACACTGTGTCTTGTATACGGGATTCTTCATAGTATGAAGCTGGGTAAATGTTTTTTCCCCTTTGTCCAGCTTGCCAAATTAAGAAGCCTTTTTGGCATTATTGGAATAAACCATATATCATGTGTGTGTGTGTTCTGTTTTACAAATTTTATGGGTAGTATCCCATGTTGCTCTGGCACTAACACTAATGAGGTTGTGCTAGCATAATTCAATGCTTGCCCAATGTTACTAGCACAATAGGATAGAGTGGCCATTTGTTGACACCACTGGCCAATTGTGGTCTTTTCTGGTTGCCCATGCTGTTTTGTATGAGTATTGGTTGATGCTAGCATAATGTGATGAGTACTAATGCTGTGCTAACATTGATTCTATCCTCCATATTTCCTGAAGATGAAGCAGGAATCGTCTGGAAGTCCCTGAATCAAATGAGAACCCATTTGACTCTGATAGGTTCTTCCAGTGCATAAGGTTCCAAGCCAGAGGTCCATGAACACACCAATGTTATCTTAACACATCTGCAGGTGCATGTTCCTCTGTTTGATTTAATGGGTAGGACAGCAGTTTGGTTTGAGTCTAAGGATGACTTTGGAAGGTTTATATCAGTTAACCTTTTGCCCTGTGTGGGGCATAAAGTTCACCACTTTATTCAGCTAATTCCCAACTTGGCAGAATACAAAGAACAATGCACTTGAGACACGCAACTGGGAGTGTTCTAGAATCAGGAATCAACATGCTCCCAAAAATGCCTTTCATACGAGGATGACATGCCAGAAGCTTGTCATAGTGCATCATGAATGTGCCTTGGCTCTTCTTCTCTTCATTTGAAGCTTGACTGACATGTTAGAGACTTCATTTTGCATGAATAACCTGGGCTTTCTGTGCTAGAGAGAACTTAATATTGTTTTCCAAAGGATCAGGGAGATTTGTAATCCCTCCTGAATACATAAAGAGGCCTTTGATCGAGAAGTTGTATTTGAATGCATGGCTCATTATACATGTAATCGGCTGCTTTAAAAACAATGTACTTGTAAAAATAATCAAAAGCAGAGCCTTCTGGTACCATATGAACATACATATATTTAAAACCTGACAGCTTTGTTTTGAAAATAGTTTTCTCTATAAAAGCACATTTCTTTAAATCTCACCCACTCCCCTTGTTGTTTTAGGTGACAAACTGTGTGAGGGAAGAGGCCCCAAACAAAATATTTCATGTCAAACACATTTGTTTTAGGCCAGTTTCCAATATACAGTGGTTCCCAGCTGGACTGTTCAGAATCAGAACTTTAGAGATCATTTACTCCTTGCCCATCAAAACCAATACCATGCTTTGGGTACACTCATTGAAATTAATGGGCTTTCCCTGAAGCCAAGCATGCCTCTGTCTGGATCCAACCCTAGGCTAGCTTCCATCGGTCAAGTTTGCTTCCATAGGGCAAGAGTTTGCTTCCATAGGTTAAGAGTGGTAGATCAGTGGTAGAGCACCTGCTTTGCGCACCAATTGCAGTAGGTTCCACATAGGACTGTGACAAAGCTGTACAGAATCCATCCCTTTAGCATTCATGGACTTTCTTTCATGCTGGCTTGGACTCGGAAAGGGAGCCAAACCGGGAGGAATGACCAGCAACCTCCTCCTGCTTCACATGCCTCAGCACAAACTAAGGCTGTGGATATGATGTGGAAGAAGAATGCTGCCTGCATAACAGCCACCCAGGTAAACAGGGAACATCCAAAATACCCAGGCATTTTAGTGTAAAGCTCCCAGAGCCAATAGTCTTAGGATGGTCATTTCAGTCTTTTTGAATGGGGAGAAGCAGCACAAAAATGGTCAGTGATGAGAGGAAAGGTGCTCAGACCAGGCCTGCAGGCAAGCCAAATTTGGCTTCAGGACTTGAGGTCTGCATTCATTACTTCTGAAAGTGTGACGGTCCATATCCATTCACAAAGCAAGAGCACAGCTCAGGATGATAGGAAAATGGCTAGATTCCTCAGAAAGCCTATGTGTTGAAGCATCATCTATTTTTCTTTGCTGCCATGCAGCATGTCAACCGAAAGAATGGGAGACAGGGCTTGTTTCAGAGATCGCAGCATGCCCACCCTACTGCATGTCGACATCTTGCAGTCCAGAGTGCACAAGCTCCCTTTCAGACATTACAATGGACATTCAACAAGCAGAAGCATGAGACACTCATGCATTGATGCTACAGCAGTCGTGACACCAGAAGCTGCTTGGTTGGAAAGGGTTATGCATTTCTTTTAACACATTTCTTTTAACACATTTCTTGAAATGAGGTTCCCTTATTGTGGGATATCTCCAGTCTGAATCTGTACATTCCAATTACTTGTGTGAATAGGATTAGCTCTCCTGTTGTGACCGAGGCATTTAAGAAAATGTTTAATTTTGGTTGGAGGGTGCCTGATACATTGCTCCTGAATTAGCCCTGGTCAAGAGGAAAAAGTTGGGGAATTTAATAGCTATGCCACTAACTTTGGAGAATAAAGAATTTTCTCACACCCCAACCGACAACCAGTGATTCCCAGTGATACCATTTCTCTAAACTTAGCAATAAGAATGCTTGTTTCAAAAAATGCATCATCATTTTGTTCCATTTCCACTACACTGGTAGCAAAGTACAAATAAGGACTTTTTCTCTTTCATGCCTGTCAGATTCTTTGTGAGAAACCAGAAACATTTCTGGAACGGAACTGGATGGCGCCAAGTTAAGATCTCTGAAATCCAATAAATATTTAAGAATCTCGAGGTTGTGTGTACACTACCTGCTTTGTGGAAATCTTCATTGCAGAAATAGCAGTGGGTTCCTGGAAAAGAATATTATGGTGAAACATCAAAAGTGCTTTAAATAGCTGCTATTCTTAAGTGGATGAGAACTGGGTGTCTTGAAGATGATTGTTCTTACCAACTTTCACATCAGAACATTATTGTTGCTATGGATGCATTCAAATACATTTGTTGCTGTGCGATTGAGCATGCAGAATGTAACAGAAGAATCAATCAAGTATGTATTTTTTAAAATGAAAGTCTGGCACAGACACAACCCCAGCTTCCTGCAATGTGATCCTTGTAGACGTGATCTTGGAGAAGTGCTTATGGGAAGTTCTGGGATAGTTAGAAGGGGAAAGGACAGGTTCTACCATTATCCCAAGCATCACAAAGGCACGGCATTTAAACATCCAGAATTGGTTTTACAGGGGAGAAGGAGCACGGGGACCTTGGCATCTGCAGAGGATACCCACAATGCAGTCGAGTTTAGAAGGTCAGGGACATCCTGATTGGATCATGAAGGAAAAGGCCACCAATGGCGACTAATATTGATAGCTATGTGCTACCTTTCAGAGGCAGTATGCCTGAGTGAACCGGTTGCTGGGGAACTTGGGCGGTGGGGTGCTGTTATAGCCTGTGTGCGGGGTCCTGTAGGCAGCTGGTCGGCCACTGTGTGAACAGGATGCTGGACTGGAAGGACCACTGGTCCAGCATGGCTCTTCTTAAGCCTGACATGTGTCTGAATGCATTGGAGGAGGTGATGGTGTGCGCAGTGGCAGAGAACTTATATTCGATCGATCGATCGATCGATCTATCACATTTGTGTGCTGCCCATAGCCAAAGGCTCTCTGACTAAGAGCAAAGCTTATACATTTGGTGGGGCCTCTATTTCAAGTTCTGCATGCAGATCTGTCTCAAGTCTTGCTATTGTCTCAGAATGTCTAATGCTAATTTAGTTTCTAGCCAGGTATGTTCACAAAGTTTGCATCAAGCCTTTGCACTTCATCCCTCATTGATCCCACTGGAGAATTGGATATGGCTCAGTGGATGCTAAGCATGCAGACTCTCCATTGCAAATGGGTTATTACACTTGGTATTTGGAGGCATCAATTACAAGTTCCACCAAAAATGTTTTCTCAGCTGTTCAGGGAGACACTGCACAAATCAGGTTAAAAAGGCATTTGTTATCAGTGTAATACATCTTGAATGCCTTCAGTTTAGATGGAATTGTAAATGAAAAACATTAGGCTTGGCATATTGCAACTCAGGCTGTTAAATCCATTCTTTGGTGACAGAAAATTAGGCCCAGCCACCTCAGGGACATGTGAAAACTCAAAAGAGATAGGTTGCATTGAAATTCCATATTAGATTTCTGTGTTTAGCATGTAACAAAACAAAACAAAAAGCAACCCATCAAACTTCATCTGCACCTGCAGTGAAAATAAGGTCAATCTATTTGATGTTAGCTTATATGGAAAGCTTGGGCCCGTTGTGCTGTGTTGGGTGTGCATTTTTGGCCACAAAGTCTTCTACGTGGCTAGGGACTGGAGGAGTTGCAATGTGTCTTCTAATGGCTTCCCTTGGTTGCCATTTTGCCTGCACAGGGAAAATATGCAAGGACAGGAGATCTGAATGAACTATCTGCTCATTCACATGTTGGAGGAGCTTCTCCTCTTTAGTAAGAGTGAACTTAATTCTTAAGCGAGTGCATAAAGAAGGCAGACCTTGGCTGCAAACTTCAGGAACATCCTTATGCAAAAACAAGAGTGACTGTTAGGATTCCTAACCCTGACTCAATATCCCATGGCCTTGGAATGATTTCACAGAGCCCTGAGTGTTCATTGGCACCAACTGAACTTCCCTGCCTCTGTTTAATTTCTAGGGAGAGTACAAGGGGAGATGCAGCTGGGGAGAGAAGAATTAACTCTCCACTTCCCGAACACTCCCCCAAAATATATTGCCCTACATGGCAAGTAACGGTGGGGTGTTCTGGATTATCTCAGTCAGGGCACGAAGTAACCGAAGCATTCATTTCATTTGATATTATTTAGACAGAAATGGATTGGCTTCCTTTGACTCCTGAAAATTTTAAATAATGTCACTAATTACCTCTAGATTTGCACATGCACACACACACACACACACACACAAGCAAGCATGTGCAGTTTTTATGCAGACTTGAGCTATATGGGCCTGGCATCCAAATGTTTAAGTACCGAGCAATTCTCCTGGCCAGACCCATGTGCTCCCCAGAGTTTTTCCCCTCTTCCCGCTCTTACTTGCTAGATGGCTTTGTAATGTGTGGCAGACTTTTAAAAAGAACAATATATGCAGTTTGGTGCAAAGAGAGAGGAGTCCATCAAGGGGGTAAAGGGAAGGTACAGAAACAGCCCACCCACAGTTTCTGTACCTTGTGCAATATGTCCCTCATATGGTTTAAGCAGGGTCTGCTGTAGACCTATCCTAGCTCCACCCCCACCCATAGTCATCCCACAAGTACTGCAAGAGTGCAATCCTATGCATGCATAGACAGAACCTCCCCCAGATAAACACGTTTCTGTGTAGGTATGCATAGGATTGTATCCTGACCTTAGGCTAGGCATCTCATTTTCATGGGCAGTGCTCCAGCAGGGAATACCAAGCTACTGCAGCCTCCTCCTTCCCTGTGGAAAAAAGCTTCCAGGAGAGAAGATACGGTTCCTCTCAAAACTGAGGCAGTGCAACTCTTGTTTTGGACATTAAGCTCCCAGTTTGTCTGCTTCCATCTAAGTCGTTTGGCTAAGAAGAGCGTCTGATGTGGCATAAATTCTGCCACACTTATAGAAGGATCTTGTGAAATAACAGCCTGCTCACCCAAATGACTTTGGACCCTGTCAGATGCTAAGGAGCCCTGCACAGAAAAGAGACAGCAACAAGGGGACTGCAGCTACGTTGTGATTTCATCACGAGAAGAAATGCCTCCCACCGCATGATTACACAGAGCCTGGTAGTGAGGCAAGCAGGTCTCTGGCTCAGAGATTCATTCTAAATCACAGAAGGATAAGTGCAAACCATTCTGTGAAAGTTTAATCTATGCATTTATTGAATGGAGCTGGTCTTTGACCATAATAAAGTTTCTGTCTGTCTGTCTGTCTGTCTGTCAACATTTATGCAAAGAACAGTGTCTGTTTACATATGGGGTGCAGTGGAGGAGAAAAGAAAGATTTAAAAAATCTAATCTTGTTTTAATTAGATTTGGAACAACTGACAACAAAATGCAGTTCTTCCAAATGCCAGATGCAGTGGAACAACTGACAACAAAAATATAGCTCAGGTTGTAGAATATTGTTTCCTGAAAGAAATTAATATATCACAACCTGCTAGCTTCACTAGATTAGACCAGGGCTGCTATCACCTGACTGAGGCAATCTCAGTCAAGTGATCGCATGAATTTTAATTGATTAATTGATTCTATTTACATAAAGTTGCATCTAAATGAAATGATTCTGGTGAAGCACTGGAGCCTACTTGATAGTGGGAGCTTCTCCACATGTGTGTATACAGGCACCTGTGTGTTCACACTCACAGTAGTCTGTGGGAGCTTTACATGATGCTGTCCTCCTGCAAGGCCTCCTCTAGACTTTGCAGCCATATGCATGGCTGTTTTTAATGTGAGGAAAGTCAGGTAATCTTGCAACAGGAAGCTGTGAGCAGCTCAAGTAGTTTCACAATCCTGCTGTTTTACAGATTTACCCACAGCACCACCTGGTGGTTGTATAAAGAAACATATAAAAAGGCAGAGAAAAACCTGGTGGAGAGGAAGATGTGCAAAGGACCCACCCTTGATCTTGTGAAGAAAATGGGAGCAGAAGCCTCAGTAAAGTGACAGGTTAAAGCCTCACATAGAGAAGCAATCGCATTCCACTGCGCATACGTTGCAGTGACTCTGCTGAGCTATCAGACTAAAGTATTTCCCTGTGCTCCTTGGGGATGTCCAGGATGAACCAAAGTGCTCCATCTCTGAGCTTCAGCCCTTTCCTGGAAGGAGTGATGACAGAATCTCTTTGTTTTTTGGTTGATATTTGCATTTGTTGCAGAAAACACCAATTTAGAAGGGACTTTCATTGTATGTGTGAGTGAGAGAAAGAAAGAGATTGGGAGAAGAAAATGACTCTTTTCAGACTTTCATAAATGCTGACAGCAAAATAATTCATGCCTGATGCTGGGGCACTTTTATACTTGATAGAATTGGGTCAATTCATCAGCAGTATAGCTCCAGACCATGTTGTTTCCATGTTCTCATTGTGCATATGTTCCCAAGTAGCACAGGATTTGGACACAGAAATAAATACCATCCGGAAAATCCATTTCTAAAATTATGTGTGTGTTGGCCTTCAGTCATATTATGTCCTTGATCAACTTTACTTTTTATGAGCATGTCAAGGAAATCCTCTACTCAGAAAACAGACCTTCTTCTAGCCTTTGCCTTAAGGTCATATGTCTGTTAAGTGGAACCTGTGTTGTATATGTCTGTGCAAAGAAGACAAGCAAAGAAGCCTTCAATGTACAGATGATTTTCACTGTAAATTGCAAATAGTTGTATCTTCTGGTTTTAACATCCCAGTGAGCAGGAAAGATGTCACTGATATGATTTTTTTTGTCATTAGTGCACAAGTGCATGGAGAGCTCCAAGATTTATTTTGGCCTGTGCCAGAGTCCTTAACTGACAAACCCTAATTGACAAGCTAATGAGGAAGGTTCACTGGATGCTTCTACCATCTCCATCTGCCCAGGGAAGGTATTGGTGTCAAGGTGGGGGGAGGAGAGTCAGAAACAGATAAAAAACTTTCAGTCATACTCACCCGAAAAACAGTCATTTCTTCCAACAAAACTTCCTCCAAGTCATGCCAAGTCTCCTTAGGTATAGAAACTACTTTCAAAACTGTCCCAATATCTGAGAGAAAAAGAGAGATTTTTTTTCCTCTGGGTTTAAACAAGAGCAATCCAACAGAAGTTTTATGTTTTCATATTACAATCCTCATATTTCAAAAAGAGGATTATGCATCAATGTGTCCCTTAGACTCAGTTCCACAGAACACACATTTACCTTCAAAATGAACTCAAAGGTTCTTAAGAGTTCCCAGGGAGGGATTATGCTGAGATCTTTTAATTGCCAAAAAACTAAAAATCTGAACCCTGAATCCATTTTAGCTGTCAGCAAGTGAACAGTGCTGTATACAGTTACCAATGAAATGTCAGCTGCCACAAATGTATATTTAAACCTAGGAATGCATTGGCTCAGCCAGGGCTACGTTTTATGATTCATTTTCAAGTCCAGCATTTTTAATGCTTGCTTTAAAATACGAGGTCAGATATTAATGTGAGGCTCATTCTGGACACACAGGAGGCCAGAGGGATGCTGTCGAGTTGATTAAGTTGTGAAATCTTTCAGGAAACTGATGATGGTTTTAAATAATAATGAGCTAGAGAATGCATGTGGGCAACCCCTGGCTGCATAGGACCCTCCAAGGCTTTTTGTGTGGCCTGCAACAAGTGCCCCTGGTGCACCTACTGTATCTCATGATCCATCACTGAAGCTGTGGCCCCCATTACTGCCATTGTTGCTGCCACTCTGGCAGTCACTCTGAGAACTCTATGATCATGGGCTTCAAGCCAGACTATCTTATGCAGCTGCTCTGGCAGCCATGCTCAGAGGGCTCAGGGCCCATGCCCCTCAAATGCTAACGTTGGTGTTGAAAAGGACAGGTGCTTCAAGTGGCAAAGAGCACAATCTAAAGAAACTTTAAAAAGTAGACTGGTTTTCACTGGATGAGAAACAAACCAACAACCTTATTTCAAGTGCCTCTTGCTTTTATCAGGTGTGTGAAGAAGGAGCTGAGAAAAACAAGTGTTTTTTTAAAAACTCCGGTTACTATTCCTGCACTCCGGTCCTTTTACTAAATGCAGTAAATGGGGCAGGGGTGCCATTAAGCCTGAGAAAAGGAATAGAAAGAGGAAAAATAAGGAAATAAAGGGGATGATTTGGTATATCTCTTTGTCACAATGCTGATCAAAAGCAGAAGGGTGTGCACACTATGTTTTCCAGGTGACTGGCTCTGCCTCACCCCCTTTGGGCAGGCAGCCCCATTGTGAGCTGAAATCTAGCTCACAACAGGTCATTCTTTGGCCAAAGCTCTTTCTTCTCCAACGTACATCCAGTAAAGCATAACTAGCATGAAAGAGTCTCCGGGCATGCACAGAGTGATTCATTGAACCCAACCTAACAACTACTTCTGAGAACCCTTCTTTGAGCAACCCTGGGCCCCACCCCTCTGGAGAACAGCCTCTTAGCTGCACTCCACCCCTCTAGTTGGCTAGCCTTCTCTCCTGATGCCACATCATGGGGTCAAGAATCACACCAAGCTTGTCTGGGTTCTGGGGCTCCTACCCCAAGCCTCCTTCCAGCAGTTGCAGAATTGCTGTTCTCAGGTTCTGCCTGAACATGTGGATCTGGCAGCCTTGAAATAGGCCCTCCTGCCTATTCCATCATGATATCTGGAGGCCCCATTTCTTAGGGCTCTTCCTCGTCATCTGAAGAGTCTGTGCCTCCCTGGCCTTGGAACACGCACCAAGAGCAACTGCCTCTTTCATTCCCAACAGCCTCCAATGAATCACCCAACACGAAAGTGGCCCTCAGCCTCTCCCTTCCTGAAAGTTCAGAGCCAATCACAGTGCCCAGAAAGCTGGCTGGGTTAGTGTTAGGGTTAGTTAGCATAGGGTGGCGAGAGGCAAGCTAGCTCGCACTCTGGCTTGTGGGTGGGAATGGGGAGCTCCAAGTGATAGCATCCAAACTGGTACTGGAGGCTGGAGGAGAAGGCTGTGCTGAAAAGCCCCTCAGCGTGTGGCAGACATTCAGGCTTTCCTCAGAAGACCAATGGTTGGGCAAAGTGTCCCTATAAAGCAGCTTGCATGAAATACATCACAATAGGTAGCTGATATTAAGAAATATTCCATTATCACCATGTGACATTTTGCCACTAAGGAATGCGTTATAATACAGTAATATGAATTTAAACTGATTCTGCACCAGTTATATTGTGTGTCTTCCTAAGAATCTGAGCAACTACATTTTGAAGAGGAAGCTGAAATTTTCCTGGGAAAGATCCCCAAGCCCTACGTGGCAGTGGAGGCTTCTGGGGTCCAAGCATCTCAGGTGGGCACATTGGTTCTGAAGCTTGGACTGACTATGCTTTCCCCTAACCATGGACTATTCTAGTGGCAACCAGCGGGAGGGTCCCACATAACTTTGATTTTTCCACAATTCCCCATGCTCCCTCCCTCCCTCCCTCCCTCCCTCCTATTGCCATCATATTTTCTTGGATGCAAAAATGAAAGCCGACAGAGACAGAGGGTGAGAGAGAGCACACACACCTAAGTACACTTGGAGGATGGAGTATACTGATTCAGAAACTTCTTAAAACCTATTTATTCCCCCATTCTTGCAAGATTCCACTCCCCATTTTTGTGACACTTGGAGGCTAAAACAATTCTGTCCAACTGTTTTGGCCCAAAGCTGTTTTTTCATATTTCCAAGAAGCCTTCACAACCAGCTTTTGAAAATTTTTCCTCACTGCCTTCTAGTGCCCAGGGTGCTATCTAGAGTGGAGCTCTTTGTACTTGTGAGACACCACTGAGGGTATTTCATTTCAAATGTACCTGCTGTTATGTGGGTCCAAGTGAATGAATACAGTGCAGTAACTCCTGCATGTAAGTGGTGTACATCAGTGCACAGAATTGCAATTGTGGAAGACGTAGGAGTTTGAAAGGTCACACATGTTTTACCATTTGTGTTTAAAGTGTAAACACACACCAGAAGCCATAGTGCTGCAACTGCATGAGAAATGGAAGGGACCAGTTAGACTTTGCTCCTTTCCTTTCCTTTAGTCCACAAATTGGATAAGCACCTTCCCCATTGTGGAGGTATAAAAACAAATGGTGTGGTTATTCACAGTTGCACAGGTGTGAAAAATAATCTTAAACAAATATATCAGATTCCCTGCTGCAAATTACTCCCTCACTTCTACCTGAGGCAAGCTCAGACCAGGATGCTTGGCTTCCTAGAGGCAATGCCTTCACAATTCGTTGTCTTGCTGGTCAAATTGCACTTGCCTTTGTACCCCTCCTAGACCAGTACTTACCAATTCCCTATTAAACCTGGAATTTATGGTGAGCTTTTCTGACCATGCACAGTCTGTATCCACATAACGCTATTTTTATTCATGCATTGAGTTGGTTGGATTGACCTTTTTCTTGCTTATGATAAACTATGGAAATCATTTTACCCCACACTTGGTCAGGTTCCTCCTCTTGACTGTCCTTCATAATTGATGGTAAGTAAGCAATAGAAGGCCAAAAACAGCCAATCAGAAAGATTTATGATGTCATGAAGCACTACATATTTCTAAGCAACAACTCTCATTGATATGGTGCATGTACAACTACTTGTTTGGTGGAACAAAAGCTGAGTTTTGAGGGAAATCTATACTCACCTTACAAAGCCAAGATCTTTCTTATCCTAGTTTGCCAGTCACTACTTCCTAGCAAACATGAAGCCTAGAAGCTTTTCTTTCAGGAACCAACCTTTTTCAGGCCCTGACCACACTGAGTAGGTTTTGTTTTGCCTTTCCCACATTTCAGATTTGCTGGATTCCATTTACAAAATAAATCTTTGTATTGTGAAAAGGGGTCACCTACTGTAGGCAAACCACCACCAGACACTGCTAAGGAAAGTGGTGTACCACCCTTGCAAACACCTTTCTGCTTAATTAGATTGCTGAAAACCAAATTACTTGATGCTAATTGGGTGGTGTGTTGCTGAGCCCTGCCTTTGAGATCTGGGTTGGAGTATGGACTCCTACATCTAATTTTCTCCTAGAAAGTTCAACCTGGCAGAGGGTTAAAAAAAGAAAGATAGAAATTGTATCCATTGCCTGATAAACCTAATATGTGAGCTTAAGTCTTTGCTATATATTTTATTGTTATTGCTTATATTGTATTTTAACAACTTTTTATGTATGACACCCAAAGACCTTTGGTTATGGGGTGCCAAAGCAATACTGTAAGAAAAAATGATTTCTTTTTATTTATTTAACAGGGGAATTTAAGAAGGAACAAGCACTTTAGGGGTACGATCCTATGCATGTTCAGACAAGGAAAAAATCCTTTCTTGTCTAAGCATGCATTAAGTTGTGTCCCCAGTGTTAAAATCCCAGAATGAATGTCATTGTAATTGCTTTAACTCCTGATTGGAAATTATGTTTTTAAAGAAAATTCATCAGTTGTGTCAGCCCTGAAGACTTGCAGCTTCTGAAAACAAAGTAGGCATATTGAAGAACTGGGCAGTCATTGGTGCTTGAATTAGACATTTTGGGAGAACAGCGTTTTATTAAAAGCCAAGAAATTGGCCGAGGGCATGTGAGCCTGGCAGATAGACATGGTATATCCACACATGAAAGCTTTAAAATACATAGTTCTATTTTAAGAGGATTCCACCACGATTAGTGGTTTGCTCCTCTACAAAGCCTCTGAGGTCAAATGCACAATACATTAAAATGCTAGAGCATCCCCTCCAGGCCACAGGCATCCAAAGAGAAGCATTATCTGTATTCAAGATCAGGTTTTTGTGGAGCAATATTTCAAACAGTTTCACACAAATTGAATCAGGCCCTTCTTTTCAGATCAGTAAGCTTTGGTGAGTAACTCAGTTTACAAGATAAAATTACTGTTATTAATTCATGTCTACTGACAGATGGACTCAAACTGTGCTAAATTATCCCTGCTCTCTTGCCCCAAATCAAGGTATGAGTGCAAATGGATGTGTTTAAATAGTATTTTTGTCTGCTGGAAAGAGATTAAAGGAGAACATGAAGAAAGTGAGACTTAACAAAGCAGTCATTTGGGTAGCAAACCTAAACCCATACACCAAACAGTAAGCCCTATTACTTCTGAGTAAGCTGGCATAGGATTCCATTACCAGTCTTTATTATAAAAACTGGGACTATTTTACCAGCCCAAAACTGTTGGACAAGGACAGTCTTATTCACGTTTTACACATGGGGAACTACAGAACAGTTACAACTTAGATAAGTCTGATTGCAGCGTGATTCAGTGTTGATTTTCTGATATTTAGTAATTCAGTGCAAGAAAAATCAGGAAAACTCTGTACAGGTGATTACTTATGCATTGAAAAAGCTCTTATAAGCAATCCTAGCAATTAGATTTTGACATCACCCTGGTCTTAAAGGCTTCATTTCTGATGGATCACATACAGATTACTTAATGCTGTTACAGTGCCAGTTCCAAATTTTGGGATCCATCAGGCAACATGTCCTCCTAAAAGGCTAAGGGGGCTGCTTGTTGTTTGATGGTGAGACCCCTGTCTCACCGGCACAGGGGAGATCACCTAGTGGTGATCAAATTTTTTTCACAGGAGGAGGAGCACCTGATGGAAGTTGATTTGTTTTGGCTTCACCAACATCTTGCTGGTGCTGGCAGTGCCAAGGTGAGTGATGGTGAAAGTAGAGGGAAGTGAAAGGGATTCTCTTGGGTTCTTCTTGCCACCAGTCACTTGATAGCCCGCTGACACAGGGTGTTGGTGCTGGCAGGGCCAAAGATAAATGAGAGACAATATCATGCTTCAATAGCCCCAGGAACTGGACAATTGCCCCAGGGCCCTCTGCCATCTCCTAACAGAAGACCATGCAGTAGTTTCAGCTCAGCTGCAAGCAACTGAAAAGTGAGAGACCATGTGCTATGGGGAGTAGGCCCGGCACCCTCCCCAGTTTTTCTGTTCAAAGGAGAAACTAGAGAAGTGTGAGGATTTTGTTTCACTTTGAAAACATGTTGGAGCATCCCATTCAAAACTTTGGCGATGAGTGTGAGAATATCTGCCAAAAAAATTGAACTGATTATCAAGTATGTGCTCATTTTTGTCTCTCTTTCCAGATTCCCAGTTCAGCCTTGCTAAATGAACTGAATCATTCCCTAAATCAGCCTTGCCTTCATCCGCAGAGGAAATACGCACAAATCTTCAATTTGATAGCTGTTTTACTTGCAAGTTTCTTGCACATGCAGAGTGAGCCAATGGAAATCAGGCCAAGGTGAGGGGTGAAATGACCATCAGGGAACTCTCACAATCCTAAATAGTGCTTATTTGTCAGGCCCTAGTGGAGACCCCTGTGGGTGCAAAACTAGCTATATAGACCCAGTGTGGCCTAAGGTTGGCTAGAATGATTGGATGGGGGCTTGGGAGAGTCAGGTTTTATGTTCACTAAGATGTGAAGATTGTCAGTCATACCCCCTTCCTCTCGCCCACTTGCCTTCCCTTTGCCACCAATGGATGGTTTCCTAGCCTCTTTGCAGAGGTTTACCCATCATAAAATATCAAAATGCCTCTGCTAAAGTGCTGTTCCTGGCAGTAGAAGCTGTAAACTAATATATGCTGGTTTGTTTTAATCTGTTGGGCTCACCCCTTTAGGCTTCAGGCATGTGCCCACTGGAATGTGCCCCTGAAGCTTCTCTGAAATAGAATGAGGCGCTCAGGCTCACAGAGGTTCTCTGCCTGACCCCGCAGCACCATTTCTTTGGCTTCCTTATTTAATTTTGGGATATGAAACCATTGTGCCATTCATGGAGTGCAGAAAAGAAAAAAGTGCTTAGCTATGATGTTTCTGCATCTGGTATAAATTGCAGGATCAAAGCATCCCCTCTTACTCTGACTCCAAGTCAGGCAGGGATCAGAACAGCAGCAGAGAACTCATGCCAGGGTCTCTAAACATTTCTGCAGCCTTTAATGTTCCTGCCCAAGAGACGGTCCTCAATTGAACGTGATAGATGCAAGGCAGTAACAGATGTACACTATCAAGTGACATATCTGGTACAACATGGCAGGAAAGGGCAACTGGATGACATATCAGAGGCACCAAGTAAAGGGAAGCTGGCTCTCTTTACTTCAAATTGGCCAAGGCTTGTTATTTGCTCACAACCAAATTGACCAGCAGGTAATGACCTATAAAGCCCTAAACGGCTTGGGTCCTGGTTACCTGAAGGAGCGCTTACATCCATATTTGC